TTCTGTGCAGAACTGTGCAGTGCACTGGCGAACACTGGCTGGCTCAGGGCTTTCCCTACTGCTCCACCAGTGGGAGCTCTGCTGGGACGCCGACACCAGCAGCAGCGAAAGCAAAATCGGGGCTCTAAGACAAGAGAGAGGGTAAATAAATTCCACAGCCCTGCAGACAGGAGAATGAAGGACCCAGCTTTCATGGTTCTCTTCTCGCCTTGCTACAGGTCAGTCCTGCAGGGAGGCTGCAGAGCTGCCTCACGCTGCTTGCTGTGTTTGCCACTCCATCTTTCCTTTCAGCTGCACCAAATCCTCGCAGCAGAGCTCTGCTGGCCCCAGGTGCTGTATGAGCAGATGATCCTCTTACACCAGCTGGAAATTCCATCGAGTTCACCGGATGATAGGATTTGCCAAAGCACTGAGATAATGGGAAAGTTTCCTTCCCAGAAAAGCCTGACTCTGGTCTCATTTTGAAGGCTAACTGCTGGATATGCAGCAATGGATCATCTAGCTCATAAAGCACTGTTAGTAAAGACTATTTTACTCCTGTCAGGAGCTTCACCACTAACCCTGGCTGCTATGGTCAGAGCATGGGCTGTGTGAGGCTTCTGAAGTGGAGCTACCAGAACATGGGCTTTTAGAACTTGATTTTAACCTTTGTAAGCCATTCCCTGCCAGGAGCTGCTCGCTTCCACACTCACTTTGTCCAGGGGCAGCAGAAAACTCTCCCTTGTGAAGCACAGCCCCCCTAACATGGTCCCTTTTGAAGCCACTTGTGTGACAGTGGCATAGCCCCCACAGTCCAAGTGAGGGGAACACCACCCCAGTGCCTGCACACACTGAGCCATGGAAAACCAGGCCCAGCTTCCCAGCACAGAGCCATTCCTTTCCTTTCTTTTTTTTTTTTGCAGTATGTAGGACTAAATCAAGCAAAAGAGCACCTCCTACTCAATAACTGCAACTTCTTGTGGCATCTAGAAATGCCTCGGTGGGTATTCATCCAAAAATCGACCAGATTCAACCCCGTTTAACTTATCCACTCTGACAGGAACACAGCAGGAGACAGAGCGGGCACAGACCACGCTCAGAGCTTTTCAGAATCATTACTTATTAAATACTGATGAATAAAATGTACTCTAACGAGCATTTAAACTGCCTGTAGGCTGATTATCCTCACTGCCAACTGGACACTGTGTGCACAGATCGGGCTTATCCTGATTAAGCAGACGGGCTCGATTGCTGCCTGCATCCCTCAGCCTGTTTCACAACAGAGGAATGCCACATACATAAATTAAGAGGGGGGGAAGCAGTGAGGAGTTCCTAAGTGCAGTGGCAACGGGTCACAAACACTCCCTCCTCCTTCTAAAAACTGGAGGTACAGGAAGCTCTTACAGTGCCTCGACTTCTTCAGTGGGCCTTAAAAGTAGAAAAATAGGTCAAATATTGCAGTTTTGCACCGCGGAGGAGTTTGTATCATTGATTCCATGGAGAATCCTGTGAAAATGTGATGTGAAACAGTGTCACTCTGACCTTTCCCAAAGGAAAGCTCTCTCCATTGAGCCTTCGCTGCCTGTGACAGCCTGAACGCAGCTGAACCTTGTATTGGTGACATGCCATCCCTCACAGCTTGCTGTCATCACACTTGAGGTTCTATGAATCACTGCCTGCACCTCACCTTCACTTCCCTCTCGACCTCCCCCAGCTGTGATAATAGCTCCTGGGGAACTGCAGGAGCCTTCCTCACCCCTTTAAACCCTCTTTTCCTTGCTCTGCTCTGGTTTTACACACCCTCCTTTTGGCAACATGGGCTGGAGCCGATGCTCTCAGCACAAGGTGGGGGAACCACAGTTGCTCCTGCAAGGTTCAGCCCTGCAAAGCCCCACTCCAACCAGCCCCAAGCAGGCAGCTCTGATGTCCCTCCCTGCAAAGGACGATTACAACACCTCAAGAGTAGTGATGAATTCCCCCCTCAGTAACTCATTTGGAACCTAAAACTTCCTGTCTCCTTCCCCACACAGGCCTCCGGGAACTCAGCCCTTCCCAAGGTCCGCATCCCAACAGCGCCCCAGCCCTTTGGAACACCCAGAAATGACAAGAGGAACCTGCCAACTTGGAAGCTGCAGCCCATTGTTCTCCCATCGCCTCTGCCTTTTCCCAGCCTGGAACAAAGCACTTGAGGAAGGCTCCACAAGCACATGTTAAAGCACTCACTGCAGAGCCCCTGCCCCGGCTCTGATGGGATGGTTGGCTCAGAGCTCCCCACAGCATCTCTCTTACCCCATGAGCAGGATGTTGCTCTAAACGGAAGGCAGCAGGAGTTGACCAGGTCTCAGGCCATCGCTGTGACACACTGCAGCTTGCAGCTCATCCCAACACAGCACAACACAACACATCCCTCTCCTCAGCGGATTATAAAGCAGAAGGGCTGCGGAGAAGCTGGCTCAGGTGCCCTGTGATCAACTTATCCCAGGGACTCGTCACACCTGAGACAAGAGGAGCTGAGCCAAGGACGTGCTGGGTGCAGCCCCAGCTAATCCATCCCTGGGGAATTCCCCTTTGAGTTGCTTTGGTGGAAAGTGGCTGGAAAACAAAGCCAAGAGTTGAGGGTGTCATTTGGGTCCCCCAGGACCTCCAGCTGATGCTGCAGGAGCCATGGGCTGAGTGCCATGGGGACAACCTGGGATGCAGCTCCAGGATGCATGTTAGGAGATGGAATCCCACGTGTGAGGCGGGAGGAGGGCTGGGACAACGCGTGTGAAGGAAAACCGGGTCTGTTTAAGTGGGGTGCTTGGTGAGAAGATGCTTCCCTCTGGGAGGGGCAGCTCTGCAGGTCCCCCTCTTCTATTAACAGGCAAAACCTTGTCTCCCAGAGCATCAATCAGAACTGATCCCGGGGCTCCGCGGCGCTCAGCTTGCACGAGGCAGGATGAGCAGGAGGGGTGCGTGCGCCCGGCTGAAGCACCCAGCTCTGAACCTCAGGCACGGGAAGAGAGGGGATTTTCAGCTCTGCTTTGCTTCCCTCCCCACTGAAATCCCATTTCCTCCCGCTGCAGCCCAGCGACCGCGCTCGCTGTGCAGCCCCGCTCCTACAACGAGCGGCAGCCTGGGATGAATGAGCCCTTTGCAGGCAGTGAATAACTGTGATTCCTTGTTGGCAGCAGCGCCACTGGGAATGGATTTGTTTGTGGTGGAGATAAATAAGTGAGGCTGCAGAGCTGAAGGGCCGCTGATGAAGTGCGGGCCAGCCTTAATCACAGTGTAATTGCCGCCATCCGTCCTAATTACTTACAAATATTTTGATAATGGTGGAAATTAAACAATTAGACATCCTTCCTTCCCTCTGGCAAATCTAATCAGTTCAAAGTTCAGGATGCAGGCTGGGGCCATGGCTGCCGAACACACTTCTGTCTGCGGCTGACAAGAGCCTTGCTTTATCTCGCTTCTAAACCCCACAGCAAAAGCGAATGCGCATCCCAAGGCGTGCAGCCTCCGTCAGCACTGCCGGGAGGATGGATCCCATGGATGCACAGACCCTGGCAACCAGGAGCATCATTTGGCTCACGGAGGGAGTCAGGACCAGGCAGCAGAAGAGGCATCACAAGCAGTGAGGACCCATCTCGCACCAGTGACCCGTTTTCCTCCATCCCGGAGAGGCAGAACAGTTCCTCGTGTGCCCGGTGCGATGGGCAGAGAGCACCTTGGAAGTCAATAACAGCTTTAGCGGTGTGTGGAACACTGCAGAAGGAGGTCACGCTGCTAATGCTGCTGCTGCTGATCCCAGCAGATAAATCAGGAGAGGAATTACCCAGGAACGCAGCATTAAAATGGATGATTCCATCGCCGTGCCGCAGGGAAAGCATTGACTTTGACACTGAAGCCCTGGTACCCACCAGCGCTGAGGCAGGAGCTCGCCCACAGCAGCAAGTGCTGGAAGAGTGGGATGAGGAAAACCCCTCTTTGGGATGGAGCCATGGAGGAGCCTTGCAGGCTGTTGGCCCCAGATTCCTCCTGTGCTCAGCCACATCCTGAGACCCCTCCAATGCCCCAGCTTGGAGGAAATATCCGGTAATCCCAGTTTTCTGCTCTTCCCCATTCCCTTTTAACACCCAATCAAATACCAGACACTACCAACAGCACACAGCTGGGTCCATCCCAGTCCAGGTTCTCTTCCCAAAGCTCACTGCAGGTTTTCATGAGGTTTCTTACATATTTGAACCCCCCCCCATCCATGGAGTTCCACAACCAACCCGTTGCTGCCACCAGAATCCACCTCCCTTCCCCATGCTTATGGGGGTTGCCATGAACCCAGCGCTTTCCATCCTAATCACTCAGGGCAGGGCTGGCCCCGGGGGCTCAGCATCATCCAGCCCTATGGGGAGACCCTGGGGGAGCCACAGCCCCATGGACCGGGTGGCAGCAGCATCCCTGGGCCCTCCCCAGCTGCTCCCGAGCAGGGTGACCCCCGGAGCACCCCAGCCTGGGGACAGCAGCCATCTGCTGGGAGCCTGGGCCTGCGTCTGGAGACAGCGAGTGCCAAACGAGGTCAATGTCCCCAAGCAGGAGCTGTCACAACGCGTTAGGGTCCCGGCTTCCTCCTCCCACCGCGCATCCCCATGCGCCGCGCAGGGAAAGGTGCCGCAAACCGGTGCCCCAAGAGGGACCAGTGGGACCGTGAGCATCAGGATGGGTTTGTCCCTCCCGACCGTGGTGATGCCCAGGTCTGCTCGGTGGGGACCGGAGGGCAGAGCAGGGCCCTGGCACAAGGTGGCTCGGGCACTGTCACCGTGCCGGTGACCTGAGCCGTGCAGCGCTCACTGACTGCAGCCGAGGGCAGGGTTACCGGCAGCGCCACGTATCGGGTTCCGGACAGCTCTGGTGCCGGGGCACACAGACCGGGAGGGCACCGGCTGGCACGGGCACCGTTCACCCTCCCTTTACAGCCAGGATGGCACCAGGAACCGGGTGATGCCCCCACGGACACACACACACACACACACACGGGCACAGGCTCCAAAGTCAAAGCCGACTTTATTGGTGTACAAAGTAAGAACGTAAAAGGTCCCTTAAACAAAACACACGTTGGGTCAGACGGGCACCGCAGCCACGCCAGTGCCTCGCTCTGGGGCCCCACAAGCCCTGGTTGTACGTGGGGAGCTGCCGTGGGGCTGTGGGCCCCAGGGGTGCCTGGTTTGGAGCTGGGGCTGAGGTGCTTGTGCGTGGCAGAGCCCCCGGTGTGTGCTGGGGATGGAGGCACTTGTGGAAGGGTGCAGGGGCTGCTCCCGGCCGGCTCTGGACCACGGCTCCCATTGGAGCACGGGCAGCAGCCGGGGGGTGCTCGAGCAGCTTTGGTTGGTGCTCCGGGTGATTTAAGGCAGTTTAAGCTTCAGCTGGTTTTAAACAAGGGCAACCCCATCAAACCCAGCCCCCAGACACAGCTGGGGGAGGCTGCCTCCGCTCTTGGCTTTGCTTCCGAGTCGCCGCTTGGACCCTGTGCACCCAAAGGTGGGCACCAACCCTGACCCACGCTGGCCACCGGCACCCTGCCCTCTACCTACTGACACCAGGAACCCGTAGCCCAATGCTGGAAGGGTTGAGAAGGGATTTTGGGGGCGTTTTAGGGCAGATTCGGGCTCCTGCGGGAGTGGGGAGAGGGCGGAGGAGCCGCGGCGGCTCCCTCCATCCCCGCTCCCCTCACAGTGACCGGTCGGCAGCTTGTGACTCCTGGAGAGGGAGCAGGCGGATGAGGGCAGCAAACACCGACCTGCACGGTGCCAAGGGAGAACTGGGGGGAATCCTGCTCCCCCCAGCGCATCCCAGCAGGGCCAGACCCACCGCCTGCACCCCTCAGCTCCCCTCCAGCAGCTCCTGCATCCCTCGGCAGCTCCAGGGAGCTCATCCCTGGGGGAGCTTCATTCCCCATTTGCTTCCTGTAAGAACATCCTGCTCCAAGGGGGACAGCGCTGGGGTTGCCCATGAGCCACCCCATCGCCAACTGGGACCGCCGCCCCCATGCGCCTTGCTCCGCCTGGACCAGAGGTGCCAGGAAAGAAGTGGGGAGCAGCAGGGGCTGGGATGGGAGATGGGGCAGCACCACCCAGCTCGAGAGCTGGAGCGGGGTACCCAAGACCTGCCCCTCGCCCTTCCCAACCGATGTGTCCCCACCTCTTGTTACCACCCTTTGGTCCGGTGGCTCCGGCCCCATGGCCACACCGCTCCGGGTGCAGGCAGGGAGCCCAGCACTGGCTGCCCTGTGCTGCTGGGACCATCCCTTGGGCAGCTGGGGAGGGATTAAACCATGAACATCACCAACGGCCCAAGGGATCCCTGCACAGGAAAGACCCCGGTTTGAAACGGAGTCTGAACGCCCCAGGGTGTCCAGGGTCCCTCTGGTCCGGGTGGATGCTCGGTGCCCGGTGCCCATCCCCATCCCTGCTTCACCTCTCGCTGCACCAGAGCTCCCGCTGCCGGATGCTGCTTCCCCGAGGAGAACCGGACAAATCCACGCCTGGTCCTGTGGCAGCTCCTGGCAGCCGCGGGCGAGCCGAGTCCTGCCGGAGCCTCACACCACGGTGCTGATGGTGGACGACTCCTCCGACCTCCGCTGCTTGCTGGGCAGGGACTTGAGATACTCGAGGTGCCGCCGGGCGTCCTCCTGGTTCTGCCGCACGTAGTAGACCAGGTAGGAGATGACCATGGCGAACCAGCCGAACATGGTGACCAGCATGGCCACGTCCGTGGTCTTCTTGTAGACGTTGCAGAGGTCCGTGTCGGCCATCACCTGCAGGAAGGCTTTGCCCACGTGCTCCTCCTGCGCCGAGGAGTCGCAGACGAGGCCGCCGGAGGAGCCGGCCGCCAGCTCCACGGTGCGGATGAGCTCCTGCAGCCGACAGTCGCAGAGCCAGGGGTTGTCGGAGAGGTTCACCTTGGCCTTCAGGTTGCTGAAGGCGTCTTTGCTGACGGACACCAGCTTGTTGGAGGACAGGTCCAGGGAGCGGAGGTGCTCTGCCAGACCCCGGAAAGCTCCGCTCTCGACGCCGGCGATGGCGTTGTGGGACAGATCCAGCTCCAGTAGGAGGGGCAGGTCCTGGAAGGCGTCGCGGGGCAGGAATGGGATTCGGTTGGAGTCCAGGTAGAGCTTGTTGGTGTCGTTGGGGATGTCCCTGGGGACCTCGGTGAGGCGGGCGTTGCTGCAGCGGAACGTCTTCAGGCCCTCCTCTTCCGAGGGGTAGCAGCCCTTGGGGAACGCTGCGGCCGAGCGGGGATGGGAGGCCAGGAGGAGGCCGTGCAGGAGCAGCCACGCGGTCACGGAGCACAGCGGGATCTGCGCTGCCGCAGCCATGGTCCCGCGCTGCTGCTGCTGCTGCTGCTGTCACAGGGCCACCGGCCCCGCAGCTCTCAGCCCCGGTGGCTTCAGCTGGACTCGGTGCATCTGAGGTGGAGACAGCAAAGGGACAGCGTCAGAACCGCTCCGGCTGCAAGCACGGCTGTGGGGCAGGGATGGGATGGGACAGGGCCAGGGAGCACGGCCCACGCGTCCCCATGCCATCGGCTCAGGGCTCCTGATCCAGCAGGATCAGGCCTCGAGGGGCCGAGCGAAGACGCCTCCTGCAGCTGGGCTGTAACAACGGGGTCAGCCCGGGCTGAGCTCCGACTCCGCCAAGGTCGCTGCGTTTGATGGCTCCTGCGCTCGCTCGCACGCGGCCGGAGCATCCCGGCACGGATCCGGCTCCGGGCGAGCGCGATGGGAAACCCGTGAGGGCAGAGGCACAGCAGGTGCCCGCGTCCCGGCTCCAGCAGTGCCCATGGCACACGCGGGGTCTTCCCCTTTGGAGGGTGCCGGTGCAGGCTGGGCGCCGCGGTCCCCTGCCCGGTGCCACTGTGGGGTCGGGCTGCCCACACCACCCCGTAACCATGGTCCCCATCCAGCCCTTGATTCCGGAGGGGAAAAACGTCAGCAGGAAAGAAACGAAAACAGAGAAAGGAAATTCACTGGAGCTGAGCGTGCGGCGAGTTCCCAGGGTGGGTCCCAGATAAGGCCCCGGCTTCCCCAGCCATGGGTCCCACCACGGCCCCATCCTGACCGCGCTGGTGGAGCCACCCGGGCAGGGTGCGGATGCTCTCCCTGGTTAAAGACACCGCTGTAAAAGGGCTCCCATCAGCAAAGCTCCGCGCTGCAGGAGGGCTCCCGGAGCACCCAGTCCAGCAAACCGGGTACCAAGGGGCCGAGGTGCTCACCCAAGGGTGGCCCCGGAGCCCCCCCCCGACCACTGCACAGTGTAACACGGCCCAACCACGCCAAAGCACCCCAAGGTCACAGCACTGCAGCCCCCCCCCCAGCTCCTCGAGGTCCCCGAGCAAGGACCGGGGCTCACAGCGGACAAAGGGCACCTGGAGCCAGCCCCATCGGGGAGCCGGTGACCAGGGCAGGGACTGCTCCATCCCGGGAGACCCCGCGGGTGGGATGCGGCTCCCGGGCCCCCGCGCTGGGCTCGGCGAGGGGGGGGGGTCCCCAGCCACCCCGGTGCTCCGGAGCAGGCACCGCAGTGAGGACGGGCACAAAGCAGCCCCCGGGCACGGCGGGAGCCCCAGCCCCTGGGGCAGGACGGGGCTGCCCGTGCTGGTGCGGGACCCGCGGTGCGCTCGGTGCAGCCGGGGATGCCCCGGGGTTCCCCCCGGCTCCGCTCCGCACCGGGGGCGTCGCGGGCGAGGGAAGCCCCGGTGCTTCCCCGGGAAGCTCCGCTCCGCGCTGCCGGGGACCCCCCCCCACCCCGCCCGCCCTCGCTTCCCGCCTGTGCCCGGGGAGGGGGGGTCCCGGTGCGGACTCACCTGGCGAGCGCGGCCCCGCGCCCCGGCCCGGAGCGGCCGCGCCCCGCGACCGGAGCCGGCGGCGGCAGCAGCGGGGCCGGTGGGCGGGATCCTCCGCGCGGGCCTCCCCGCCCCCGGCCCGCCCCGCCGCGGGGGGAACCGCGCAGCTCCGAGCACCCCCGGTCCCGTCCCCGCACCCGAGGGCTCTGCCCCGGGGACCCCGCCCGGAGCAGCGGGGGCGGCACCGGGGGGACCCGGCGAGGAGCTGCGGGGATCCCGAGCGCGGGGACCCCCCCCCGGGGGCTCCCCGCAGCCCTTCGGGGACAACAGGACCCCCCCCCCTCCTCCCGCGGGCACCGGCATCGCTTACTCGGGGAAACCCGACCCACGGAAAGGGGGGGGCATCCCCGGGCTTCCGGGGCCGGGGCTCGGCGCTAACCCGGGCTCGGCCGCCCCGGGACACCGGAGGGGCCGCTCAGCACCATGGAGAGCGGCCGCCGTTACCGGACCCCGCTGACCCGGGGCTGTGTCCTTGTGCTGCCCCGGTCCCCGGTTCTCCTCGAGGGGGGAGAGCCCAGCCCCGGGCAGTGGGTACCGGGTACGAGGCGCCCGCCCTGGACCTCGGCTCCCTTCGGAGGACAAAGCCTGATGGAGAGGGGCGGCCGGGCAGGGCGCGGGGACCCCCCGGACCCCAACCCGCTGGGCTGAGCGGGAGCCCCGTGTCCCGGGGCTGGCCCGGGCCATGGCGGTGGCACTCGGGGAGCCGTGGGCAAGGCTCTTGTGCGCCTTGGGGTCGGGCAGTCCCAGTGCCGCCGGGACCTGCCGCATCCAAGGGGACAAGGCGACAGGCTCAGGGCGTGCTTGAGCTTCGAGTCCCGCTTCGGTGCTGGGCTCACCGCAGAGACCCCGGCAGCAGGAGCAGCACCAGGGCTGCGCCCCCGAGGTCCCCCATGCCAGGACACGGCACCCACGAACCCGAAACCCCAACACCTGCAGTGCAGCACGGTCCCACACGCACCCTCCCCTGCTGCAGCCAAGCGAGAGGTGGCTGAATACAGCCGCACCGGGGCTGAATACAGCTGCAAAGGGGCTGAATACAGCTGCAAAGGGGCTGAATACAGCTGCAAAGGGGCTGAATACAGCTGCAAAGGGCTGAATACAGCCGCACCGGGGCTGAATACAGCTGCAAAGGGGCTGAATACAGCTGCAAAGGGGCTGAATACAGCCGCACCGGGGCTAAATACAGCTGCAAAGGGGCTGAATACAGCTGCAAAGGGCTGAATACAGCCGCACCGGGGCTGAATACAGCCGCACCGGGGCTGAATACAGCTGCAAAGGGGCTGAATACAGCTGCAAAGGGCTGAATACAGCCGCACCGGGGCTGAATACAGATGCACCGGGGCTAAATACAGCCGCACCGGGGCTGAATACAGCTGCAAAGTGCTAAATACAGCTGCAAAGGGGCTGAATACAGCTGCAAAGGGCTAAATACAGCTGCACCGGGGGTGAAAGCTGCACCGGGGCTGAATACAGTCAGTATCGACCGGGCAGTGTGACCGGCAGCCCCAGAGAGCCGGAGGTGAGCACGGCTCCCGGCACAGGGGAGGCCGGAGTAAGCAAGGCCTAGGAATTCCTATGGGAGCAGCCCCTGAGCCCACTGAGAGCGGGGAAACGCTGGTCCAGGCTTCTGCCAGACAATGGATGGGGCTGAATCCCCCATTCAGGACCCCCCTCCCCAGCCCCGGTGCCGCTGGGGGGAGCGCAGGGAGCGGGATCCCATCCCCTGTGCCCAGCCGGGCAGCGGGATGCTGCCTGCTGCATCCCGGCAGGAATCCGTATTGATGGGCGTTTAAAAATAGCCGCCGCATTGTGCTTCCCCCTCACGTGCGGAGCCAGCGGGGTGCGGGGAAGCTGCTAAATCAGATGTCACCGCGCAGAGGGAGCTGCTCAGCCAGGCAGGAGAGGGATAAAAATAGAGCTCGCTGCGTGCGTGGTTCTCCTGCAGAGCAGGGCCCGCTCCTGCGGGATTCCCGCTCCCCGCACCGGCATCCCCGCACCGCAGCGGCTGGGATGGGCACACGCAGCGCACCCCGGGGAGCATCCTGAACCCAGACAGGGTTAAACTGGACCCCCCCCCCAAGACCAGGCTTTGCCGGGGGGCTGCGAGCGGCCCTGGTGGGGCTGCCCCTGCCCCGCACACCGGGACCCCGCAGAGCCGCGCAGGGGGGGTGCGGTGGTGCCACAAAGCCCCGCGCTCCCGTCCTGGGCAGACACGAGCGGGGCCCCCGGGCTCCCAGCCCGACCTCGGCGGTGCTCAGGGGAGGGAGCCCCCAGCGGGACCGGAGCCACCCCGCGGTGTGTGTGTGGGCCCTGGCCGCGGTGGGCGCTGGGGCTGGACGGTACCGGGGCTGCCAAGGAGCCTGCCGGGGTCACCCCGGCTCCTACAGCGGCTCCGCTCCGCAGGCTCGGCCCCGGGGGCGGGCTCCGGTGCTCGGGACTACAGCTCCCGGCGTGCCGCGGCGGCGGGGCGGGGAGGGCCGGGCCGGGCGGCGGCGAGGAGCCCGCCGGGAGCGCAGCCGGGGCCGTGGGTGCGCGACGGAGACAGCCCCGGCCCCGCCGAGCCGGGCCGAGCAGCGGTGAGTGCGGGCCGGGAGCGGCGGCGCTTCCCCGGTCACCCCCCCTCCCGCACCCCGGGGTAATGGGGCCGGTGCGGGGCCTCGTCCCCTTCCCCAGGCCCGGCGCTGGGGGGGGGGGGGGGGGGGGGGGGGCGGGGCCCGTCCCAAGGGGAAAACGCTCCATAGAGAAACAAGCGGCTGCTGAGGTGGGGAGGAGGGGGCGCACCGGGACCTGCCCCACACCCCCGGGGTCCGTGTGGGGTGAGCGCGGTGCAGGAGCCCCCGGACGAGACTCTTCCCCCGCCAATCACCCCCGTGTCCGGCAGCCGGAGCCCCGCAGCGCCCGCTCGGTGCTCGCCGCTCCCCCAGGCCCCCTCGGCTTTCCCAGGGCTCCCAGATGTGGAATTCCGAGCCCGACTCCAGGCCCAAGCAGGACACAAAGCGGCGCCGCCTCGGCCCGAGCGCTCCCTCCAAGCCCAGCCGTGTCTGTGGACATCCTCCGTGTACCTGATGCTCTGGTTCAGATGCTGATGCCGCCTTGCAAAGGAGGGGGTTGAGTATTTATCCACTTGGGAGATGGTGCTCGCTGGTGCAGGCTCCTCAGCGGCTCCATGGGATCATAATCGCTTGGGATCAGAATCACTCGGGTTGTGGGAACACTCGGGAAGATCTGAGATAAGCACCTGAGCCCTCCTGCCCTCTGGCTGCCGTCCCAGCTGAAGCTCCTGTGATGGGCTGATGGAGAACGGGGTGCCAGGCGCTGGGGAAGAGCGATGCTGCTGCCAGAGCAGACAGGGACAGGAGCAGATGTGGTCACGCTCCTCCTCGGGGGGCAGGAGCCGTGCTGTGGGGTGCTGGCTGCACTCAGCAGCAGCTGATGGGTGACAAAGTGAGCAGGAAGCTGCCGGTGTCGCTTTGTTCCCCCCTCTTCCTCAGAAGCGAGATGCTGGCACGGCAGACACGGAGCTGGCAGCCCTGGGGTTCATCCCAAGCCCCGGAATGAGTCTTTCCCTACAGATCCATGGACAGGGAGTGGGAAGTCAGGAAGGATGGGGCCGAGGAAGGGCTCGGTTCCTCCATCACGGCGTAACCACAGCTGACTTTTCCCCTCCTTGGACAGACAGGGTCCAACGTCAGCACAGCCCTGACCTTCACACTCTGCCTGGTGAAACATTAAAGCTTCTCTGTCCCCAAAAGCCCCGCAGCACACGTGGGGAAGCAGAGCTGCCTCCCTTTGGCTGCAGGTGAACAACTCCCGGGTGTAAAAGCAGACACCATGGGATGCGGGATGGGGGTAGGGAGCTCAGCTCCCTCAGCCAGGCTTTTGCAATCAGCAAAAGCCGTGTGTGCAATCCAAAGGGAGCAAAGAGCTCGGCCAAGGGCTGCAGATGCCACTCAGGAGGGGAGACCGAGAGATGAAGTGGTTTTAAGGTGGGGAAGGGCTTGCAGAAGCACGTGGAATTATCCTCATGGTAGGACGGAACGCTTGACATCGTTGGGTCTCTCTTGCAAGACCAAATTAACCTCCTGTGTGTTCTAACACTTCACTCATTGTTACAAGCAAGGAAACGGAGGCACCAGGAGGAGAACCGGGCCCTCAGTGGCTGCTCCATCTGCCCCTCGGCCACCCGCTCGGTCCCCAGCCCACGGAGGAAGCTGAAGGGTTCAGCTCTGGATGAAGTTGGATTTGGAAGCCTCCAGCGAGGTCACCAGCCCCTTCCCCATGCTCAGTCCAAGCCTCAGCCAGGCAGTTGCTAGAGCTGAGCCCTTACCAGTATGGAGGAGAATGGCAAACAGCACTGCTGGGGATGCATTGCACAGGGACCTTTGCTCTGTTTGGGATTTGCTGCAACGACAAGACTTCCTGACTCACGTCATGCTTCACTGCAACCCCTAGGTCTCCTCTGAAAGCCCTCTGGAATTGCACCAGGTTAGGGATGGAGCTGCTCCGCCTGCTAGGACTCAAGCCCAGCTCTTAAGTCCAGCTTCCGGAGTAAGCTTCAGGCTTTCCCCTGGAATATCAAGGATACCCTTTGCCCTCGGCTATGGGCATGGGTGATGATTTACAACAAGCACTCCCCAGACCTGCAGCCTCTTTTCTTGTACTACAAACCTCCAGCCATAAGCGCCCTGGTTGACACCTGGGTAGCAGAGGTAGGTGAGCATCTGCTCAGCCCACCTTGGCAGCCTGCAGCACCGAGCAACAGCCACCTCGTGTGGGTGAAAGAGGTTTGGAAGTTCCAGCCAGCATCCCAGGGGCTGTGGAGCCAAGCACTCACCGCATGTCCCAGCCCCAGGCAGGGCCAGGGGAGAGAGCCAGCTCCTGACACACACCAGGCCCAGTGCTCCACAGGGAGCAAGCAGCTGGCTGTGGTGTAATGTCAGAGCTGGCTCAGACTCGCCTCCTGAGACCCAGACTGAGAGCTGGAGAACAGCAACACCATCTCCCAGCTGCGGGAACCAAAGCAGCCCAAGCACAAGGCCAGACATCAGGAAGCAGCCTCACCTTGGGGGCCGGCGAGGGATGGACCGCATTAAACTGCATTTCCCCAGGAGACAAAGATGATTTTACACAAGAACTTCCCTGATCTCAAAGATACTCAGTTTTACAGATGTTCTCATTTGTGCTGCTTCCTGTGATCTCTGCAAACCAGAGCTCTCTTCTCAGAAAGCCTGAAAGCTGACTGATACCTGCTGTGCTATCAGCACAGCAGCCCAAATCCCACCAACACCTGCACTGTCTCCAGGAGGATGACACTGTCCTTCCTCACCTTCCTGGCATTGTGGCTGCCCCATCCCTGGCAGTGTTCAAGGCCAGGTTGGACAGAGCTTGGAGCAAGCTGCTCTAGTGGAAGGGGTCCCTGCCCATGGCAGAGGTTGGAGCTGGATCAGCTTTAAGGTCCCTTCCAACACAGCCCAGTCTGTGATACAGAAAAACATCTGTGTTCCTCCTATGTGGCAGCTCTTTGCAGGTAGGGCAAGGGCCATCTCCTCTGCAGCTCCTGCTCATGAAATACCTTCCCAATGCACTTTTCCTCATTATCTCTAACTTTTTATGATCCTCAAGAAGAATCTTGTTCCTTCCCCACGGGGGAATTAAGTTACTTCCCCAGAGCCCTGCTAACTGAGTTGAACTGATGGGGAGATGTGTTGCTGTGGAGCTGTGGTGCCTTTACTCTGCAAACATGCTCGTTCCAAGTATAAAATGTGCTGAATCCATAAACATGCAACAAGCTCCACGTGCCGAGTGCCTCCATGATTAACACTGCGATGGTGACTTCAGAAGAGCTTCAGGTATTCCTTTGAGTCTCCTCAGGCAATCGCAGGATTGAACCTTCCCATTTTGGTTCCAGGAAAACCTTTCAGCAGATCACGGACAGGCTTCCCACACGGTATTCCCAAAAGCTCCCAGATTTAGCTTCCCCCCAGAAATGGCAGCTCTAAGAATGAAAGCAACGAGGTGCAGAAGTGAACTTGTGATTCTTAGAGCAAACAACAGGTTCGGGGTTTGATGGAGAGCAAGAGGGTGCTCAGCTTAGACGGAGGGTTCCCACCTCTGAGTACTGACCCAGCTCTGCTTTAGTTTCAGGGGTGCCTGTTGGACACAAGAGCCAACATGAACGTGGGGACAGCGCACAGCGAGGTGAATCCCAACACCCGGGTCATGAACAGCCGGGGCATCTGGTTGTCCTACATCCTTGGAATTGGGCTGCTGCACGTCGTGCTCCTGAGCATCCCCTTCTTCAGTGTCCCCGTGGTTTGGACTCTTACCAACATCATTCACAACATGGTAAGGGAATGGTGTGGCTGGCTTGACTTCCTCTGGGGCAGGGAGACATCATCTCTCAGCACCAGCTCTTCTTTTGAGAGCCATCTAGGGAGATTCCTGTTCAAACAATTCCTTTCTGTTTCCAAAGGTGCAGTGTAAGTTACTCAACCTCCACCCCTCAGACTGCAATCTTTGCCTCTAGGTCATAGATTTAAATCCAGCCTAGGTACTGTTGAGACAGCAAAGATGTGAGGCTGCTCAGAGGGGACACTGCAATAACTTGCCTGCAGCGTAAGTCCTTTAGCTGAGAGGCCACAGAAGCTGGCAGGACAGCCTTCACTTTGGTGGATACAACCTGAATTGGCCTTAGCAGAGTTAAGAAAACAAAACGAACACCCAAACTTTGTTCTCCTTAAAGATTAGTCCAGGTTCATCCCTTCTAAGGACCAGGTACCCAGTTGAATGGGTGTCAGTGCTGTGCTGGGGGCACAGAGGCACATTCCAGGGTGCAGGCCAGGAGCTGCTTTAGTGCCTCCACTGCACAAGCCTCTGCATGTCCTGCAGCTGAGGAGCAGCCCTTCAGCCTCAGGCACAGGGGACAAAGACCCTCAGAGATGCAGCAATTGATTTTGTATCCTTTATTTTCAATGATACCTCAGCCTGAGAATATTCCAGAGGTGAAAGTGACCCCGTTACCAGGGATGTTTTTCACATCTAGCAGAGGAGGAACCCACAAAACCACTAACTTGAGCTGCCTGGAGCTCAGCTCGCAAGCTGCCTGCTTTACATCCAGCTCCTTCCCCTTCTCTGGCAGCTTAAACAATGAGGTCATGGGAACAGAAAGGAGTTTAAAGGCCAGCAATGGCTACTCTTCAAAGCCACGTGATGCAGCCAGACACTTGCTGTTTATCTGTGCCCTGGGTTCCACTCCAAGAGGTTCACTCGTAATCAGGGCAGGAACAGATCCTCACTGCCCACAGCCCCACCAGCACTGTTTTTAGACAGCCTTGGGCATTGCTGGTGCACGGCAGAGCCATTCCACACTAATCTCCTGACCCCAGAGACGGGAGCGCTGTAATCTTGCGGCCACTTTCTTGGCTTACGCCCAGGAGCTGAAGCAGAGGCCTCCCGTGTGACAGCCGGCCCTGAGCTAACCCCGGCTGCTTTCCTTCCCCGCTCTCCCCACTCGCTTAGCTGCATTTTCCAGCGGGGAGGATGCATCCCTCTAGTGGCACAGCGCGCTGGTGCAAGCTCCCCCGGCCGTTCACGAAGCTGAGCGTTTCTGGTGGTGTGGAGGTCCCCTGCGTGCTTCACACTGCTTTTGTGTTTGCTGCAGAGCATGTACATCTTTCTCCATACCGTGAAAGGAACTCCTTTTGAGACTCCGGACCAGGGCAAGGCTCGGCTGCTCACGCACTGGGAGCAGATGGACTATGGAGTGCAGTTCACGGCGTCGCGCAAGTTCCTCACCATCATGCCCATCGTCCTGTGAGTACTTCATGTGCTGGCCTGGGAAACAAAACCACAGAGCGCTGTGACTCAGCTCTCCCCCTCTCTGTTCTCCTCCTTTCCAGGTATTTTCTAACCAGCTTTTACACAAAGTACGACCGGATCCACTTCGTCATCAACACCATCTCCCTCATGAGCGTCCTGATCCCCAAGCTGCCGCAGCTCCATGGCGTCCGGATCTTTGGCATCAACAAGTACTGAGCTGCGTGGCTGGGGCGAATGCAAGAGGAGCAGGGGGAGAGGGGGATGTTCCTTCTCTCTAGTTCCATTTCTTCTTCCCCACGCAGACTGGGATGCAATTTCACAGCAGCTGTTTAACTGCAGTATCCCATAGACATACACCGCATGCTGGATCCTCACGCCCAATAAACCTAAACCAGCTCCAGAGTAGAGTTTAGTGGAAGCAGGATGCGTGGCACTGGGTTCCTTACATTCCAGTGTCATAACTAGATGCAGACTTCAAGGTACAACGAGGATGAATTCTGGTG